TGAAAGGCGAACAACTTGTACCCATTGTTTGCTTCACTCAATCAGGTGGTTTTATTTGTGACTTTTGGAAAATAAGTGGAAAACATTACAGGAGTCCTTCGCGTTACTTAAAAATAAGCAATATTCAATGGTTATATGGAAGCGCTTTGGTAATGCCTATCATCCCTGAGTGATCTTTCTGATTATTCTATTAAATTTATGAAAAGCCCTTAAAATTGATCATTAACAGACATTTTAAATAGTATCATCATTACAGTTTATTGACAATGAATGTTTAAATTGTAAAACATTAAATTTCAGGTAGCAGAGATGTTGTCGTGAGTTACAGGACACACAGACCGTTGTTGCATTCTGTATGTGTTATATTGAGGAGGAAGAGAAGGAGGACGAGGATTGAATTTCATGTATTTCACATGCCTTGTACACGTCGCTATGAGTCACATATCAAACAGGACACAGCGCATCGCCCTTCAAAGCATTAGGAATTTTCTGATGAATGTATGAGAAATAAAAAAATTGGATTTTTCAAACAATAAGTGTGCATATTTTACCCTGCTTACCATGATAATACATGGCGAAAAACTTTGTGCTTTCAGTAAAAACTTTTTTTGATTGAAACTCCCTAGATAACAAACAATCAGATTGATATGATATAGAAATGTATGCGACTTATTTTATTATTTTTTTAACAGCAGGCGCAAACAAGATTTGTATGGGTAACTTGCAACTTCTTTGGGAAAGTCCTTATCAATGTTCCAATAACCCCATCAACTTCCCCAAAATGATTGAAGCGATTGCAAATGAGATTCGTGCGGGTAATTTACAAATTTCTCTTTGTATAGTCACAACATAGTTGCAATATGAAAACAGACAACAACTTAGCCATAGTACCTCGACAAAAATTAATTAGTCGAAAATAAAGTAACACCAGGGAAAGTAAAAATGATACCGTATGTTTTCATAACATTTGATAGCGCCAATACATACATAAAGCCCCTTGCTATATTACAGTGTTCATGGGGACTTTCCTAGGGAGTTGGCTAACTTCCTGTACGAATCTTATTGTACTCACTGTAAACATGTAGTTATAGACCTATTGTTTCATTTAATAGTTTGTCGTAAATTTTAATATACAGGAAATAGAAGATATTAAACTTATAAAACATGAACAGAGATTGGAAACTTACTTATGCAAGTAAAAATAAATAAAACATATTTCCACTTCTCTGAAACCGTAAGCCAGTATGTCTCACATTCACTTGTACCAAGGACTTTACTTCTATGCTTTACAATATTAATTATGTACAATATGCAAAGTATGACAAACATTTAACCAATGAGAAAGAATGTACATTTGAGTATTGTCTGTCGTCATCAGTCATTGGTCGACTTACTGCCATGTACATGAAAGATAATTCCATACGGGTGTGCTAATGCCACTGTGCTTGGTCAAATTGTTTTCACACATTTGAAATTTTAAAGACATTTATAAAAACTTTGCATAAAAACGATATTTATGCCTTTATGAAACAGAATGTAGTATGAGGAGGGGGGGCAAGGGTTATTTTCGTTCAACGTAATTGCAATATTTTTTTGTTCGTACAACGTAAATTGAAAAAAAAAATTCCATAATTCTGTAATCACAGGCTAGACGTACAACGTAATCAATCAAATATTTTTTTCGTACGTTGTAAAAATGTGTTATTTTTTTCGGTATGTACAAGAATTTTCTAGGTTTTCTTTTTTAATTTTCTGTAAAATGTAAAATAGCCTTTATTTTCTCTGTAAACATTCAATTTTCACTGTAAACTGTAAAACCGTCTTTTTTTTTCCCTTGTAAATTGTAAAAAGCCCTTTTTAGTTCTCGTAAAACTGTACCAGCCACCCCCCTTGCCCCCCCTCTAGTATAAAATGAAATAATGAACTATTTTAAGTGCATGAGTGAGCTAACAAAAAATTTAAAATACAGAGTGTAAAAAAAAGGACAGGAACATAAAGAGTTAATGAACAAGTTTTCCACTAATTATTAATTAAAGAATTGATAAAAATTTGTTAATTTCTTTTTCTGGCTGATAGCATTACTGATTGATTGATTGAAGGATGAATTTAATATGTGAAGTTGGATTCTTCAAACAAAATTTTAATTACTAGATTTTTCTTTAATTGATTGAGCAGTCCTGCTACAAGTGTAAATTTATTTGTTGTGGACCTCTCGTGCACAATGTATATACATTTTTGTATTCAGGGTTAGTTTGCCATCTATAATGTGATTTTTTGTTTGTTTTATTTTTTAAAACCACAAATGCTGTGGATGATAATTCATGTGGCTGCATTGCTTCCACAATCCATGCTAAAATATATTTTACTGTGATCGCAAGAAAGAATGGCACGGCAATGTTGCATTATGACACTGTTATTATTGCTAACAAAATAGTGACATTGCACACTGCGTTGCCACAGGAAGCTAAGGCTAAAACATAGCTATAAGATTAGCAAAACAGTGTCTTGTACTGTAATATTGCTGTTCTATTATTTCTTGTAGCCACAGTAATAAAGTTTGTTGTTTAAAAAAATATGAAATTGTAATGATGGGGTAAATTAATTTTTTATTTTTTTTTAATTCATAATTTTTTTAATCATATATTGCATTAAAAAAATAAACTCTAGCGACTTCTCATTTTTCGTCTTTGTAATTTAATTAACAAATTAATACTACGAAAGACAAATAAAATAATGTAGTACCCACATATAAGATTGTATTATAGACTGAACTCCCACTTCAAATTAAAAAATGTGTCTGTGTAACATTAAAAGTTATTTCTTTTAATTTGCTTTCAATCAGTCGTTGTTGATTTTGAATCAAAGTTATCAGTATTGGTTCTGTGATATGTTCATCAGCATATTAAAATGGCTGTTTATCGTGAGCTAGGAAGGTACCCCATTGACTGTTTTATCAAGAAACAACGACTTAAGTATTTCAACCGGGTAACAAACTCTGATAACACATTACTTAAGAGAAGCCTACTTAGTAAATAAGAATGTAAAAAGTAAATGGTTTACAAGTGTAGAAACCCTCATGCAAGATATTGATGTTGTCACCACTGTAAACTTAATTGAAATAATAAATAAGGAAAATTTAGACTTTATTCATTAAAAAATAAACAAATCATTTGAGAACCAATGGATTTTAGACATGCATAATGATAATAGAAAACAAACCTTGGCTAAAAACAAACTAAGAACATACAGACTTTTCAAACAAGATTTAAAAATTGAAAATTACCTAATTAATATGCAGAACCATGGTCTTAGAAGGTTAATTGCAAAATTCAGGACAAACAACCATGACCTTAAAATTGAGAAAGGCAGACAGAATAATATGCCACTGGATAAAAGAAGTGTGATATGTGCAGCCAAAATATAATTGAGGATGAGCAACATTTTATAATGAAATGTCCAGCTTACAGTCACCATAGGGACAAATTATTCCTGACTGCACAAAATAAAGTTCCAAATTATGATAAAGAAAATAGTCAGAATAAATTCATTTTGATTATGGGAAACCATACTCTAGCACCAGCCTTAGCTGTCTTCTTAAAAAACAGCTATGGAACAAAACAGAAACAACTATCAGTGTATTAGGCTACATTTTGTGTTCATTCTATATTCTGTATTCACCATTGGCTGCAAATTGTCTTTATTGTTTTTGATTTGTATTTTATTTTTAGAAAAGTTTTTATTTTTTGTTTTCCTTTTTAGATTGTAGTTTTTAGCTCCCGTGAAACGGAGCTTATGTGGTACCGGTGTCTGTGACTCTGTGACTCTGTGACTAAAATTTGTTCCACTGATAACTCAAGATCTACAATTTCAATTCAAATGAAATTTGGCACACAGCTAATATATAATGAGTAGATGTGCTGATTAGATTTTGGTGCAATTCCATGCATATTGGCATATTTGTTTTAATGAATGGGCTTCTAGACCAATATCTCAGACTTGGTTTGACTGATTATATTCAAATTTTAAATATTCATTATACATCATGTCATATATAAACGGATATATTGGTTTGACGATCCTATTCAAAATGGCCGAATGGTGGTCATTTTTGTGCTAAAAAATCATCAAATATCAAGCATTTCTGGCATTTATGGATGGATTTCGTTCAAACTTGGTACATACATTAGACATTACGGGTTCCTGATGCACGTCATTTTATTTTTCAGATTGGATTCAAAATGGCTGACTGGCGGCCATTTTGTTTTAATGATTGGGCTTCTAGAGCCATATCTCTGAAATGCTTTGACTGATTATATTCAAATTTTATATATTCGTTATACATCACGTTATATATATACATGTATTCAAAATGGCTGATTTTGAATGCTGTTCCAGAGCAATATCTCTCAATATGGACAAGTACTTGTTTGACGATCAGATACAAATGTCAATTTTAATGTTAAAAAATCATATTCCTGACATGGTTATATTCCAGCCATATTACTATAAACAAAACTATTTATCTTAAATTTGATAACTAACG